GCAGAGATTGTGAGGATTTGGGGGATATATATAAACAACATGACAACAACTCGTTGTCACTCCGAATGGACGAATGGACATGATTTGCTTTGTTCCTGCAGGTGTCATAGAGCCTGGGTAGCAATGTATGTGTCTGGTTGTAAAAGTTGTTTTTAATGACGACTTTACAATAATGTCATTATTGTAAACATGCATAGATTGTTAGAGTTTGAGATTTAAATTATTTATTGTTAATTTTATTTTCACCTTAACAGACTGGATGGCTCTTTGTGTGTTGCAAAATAAAAACTTAAAGACCACTTCCTGTAAGAAATGATCTGTCTTTTGAATTTGCCGAAGCAGAAGTTTGTCATTTTCTCATGACACGTTCCAACATCACTTTGACATTGTGCCGACATTTGTCCTGAGTTTAAACCAGTTAATCCAAGCAAAGGAGCCTTGGAGGTGAACAGGCAGGTGGTGTTCAAGTCCAGGATAAACATGAAGGTCATGATGCTTTATGAAAACACTGAGTTACATATGGTTTATAGTTTATAGCCATAAATACACTTAACAACACTTACTGTCGCTAAATCAGCATTATGACAGTAAATATGTTGATGAGCTGATTCATCATACATTGAACATGAAGTGTCGTCCTGCTGAACAGCAGCAAACACAAGTAGACAGCTCTTGACAGTAAGGTATATATAAAAATAGTGCCGGAGGATCATCACCTGTCGCTGTTGACACGTTCTTATTACCACTAAAGGATCAGTGGCCTTTTTAAGTGTTGAGCGGGGATTGATAATGAGACTTGATTGACATTTAAATAGCTTGACATTGTCAAGTTTGGAATGTCCGGTTTTCTCCAGCAGCACATTTGTCTTGATAAAAGGAGCCTCAGCCTCCTGCTGGTCTTCACTTAGAGTCTCCCTGTCGTTGACCACGGGTGAGATCGATCGTCTGCACTTCTGACACAGACATCCGTCATTGGAGGAGAGCTGTTCATCTTCGTAATATTTTTTTCGTGTTTGTACCTTTTGACTCAATCCATCTGGGTTGTGCAGATCTGGTAAGTTAGACAAGAAATATAATCAATTTTAATTTGAAGTGATTGGACTAAAGTGTGTCTCAGTTTTCTTGCTCTTTTGGCTTCAGGTACCAACATGAGCAGCGATGCTGAGATGGCCCAGTATGGGCCGGCGTCCATCTTTCTTCGTAAACCGGAGAAGGAGAGAGTGGAGGCTCAGAACCGACCGTTCGATGCCAGGACAGCCTGCTTTGTGCCCAATGCCAAGGAGCTGTATATCAAAGGAGTCATACAGAACAGAGAAGGGGGCAATGTCACCGTGAAGACTGAGGCTGATGAGGTGAATATATAAATATGTATATATATATATATATATATATATATATATACAGTTACTCATGTGCACTTTTCAAATATATTTACATGAAACAGCAAAAATAATAAATCCTTCAAAGCTGTAAAAAAAAAAATACTTTCATTCATTCATTCATTTTTTTCATTTTCATTCATGGGTCCACATTCAATTTTCTCAAGAAATCTGGTACAACAATATAGTAGTAGAAAAATAACACATATATAACATATATGTAATAAAAAAATGGTACATACATAATAAATAAATTGACCAAAACAAGAATTTATGTATATGAATATGAATATAGAGTAAATTGTTTATTATGCCATACTGCAATGGAGTATTAGGGCTATACTGAAGAAGAAAAAAACATTCAAGAATCATTTTTGAATATTACCTATTTAACAAAAATAATAAATATTTTTAGGAGAACCTTTGCTCACCAGTGCTCCGCTTCTGGATCCAAAATCTTGAACCAATCTTATTGTTTCTTGAGAAACTACAGAACCCCTTTGAGTCCTCCTCCACTTAGGGGACAATTTCCTCAAAGTATGCAAGTTAATTTCTCTACAGTAGATTCAGTTTCAGTCCTGATACTTATGATAATGTGTAGTTGATGTGACAAAAGTAGTATTTTGTTTTTTGTGAAACTTATACTAAAGTAGAACTTAACAAAATGCTCCAATTTCCTAATTTGACCACAGGCGACAGACTGATCTTCTGATATTCCCCCTCTAAAATCACACATGGCCTTTTAGGCTACAACTTTACTCTGGAAAGCTCATCTTTTTTTCTTCGCTATATGGAGCCCTGATACTCAGTCCTACCTTTATACATGGAAAATGTAATGTGTAATCAATAAGGTCTGAAGCTTGAATTTAAAAAACGGAGACAGAACAAAAACATTTAAAAGACAATATTTTCTATTTTGTCAAGCATAATAAAAATAGGTACTTTTAAAAACTGCAACGTGAGCTACATATTTTTTTTCCACATCAGATTGACTTGAATATTACATTTAAATCTTACATTTAATACATAAATGTCCCTTTTTAAAATGTTACACTCTGTTTGTCTGATGCTGCTTTTTATTTCCATGTTGCTGTTGTAATTTTTTTTCTTAGACTGTAACAGTCAAGGAGGAAGATTGTCATCCCATGAATCCCCCAAAGTATGACAAGATCGAGGACATGGCCATGATGACCCACCTCAACGAGCCCTCGGTGCTGTTCAACCTCAAAGAACGTTACGCAGCATGGATGATTTATGTGAGTAATGATGCCGATCTCTTCATGTGTCTAAGGGATTCTCTCTCCCTCACATCATCACATACTGTACACTCTCCTCTGCAGACATACTCTGGACTCTTCTGCGTCACTGTGAACCCGTACAAGTGGCTTCCTGTGTACGAACCGAAGGTCGTGGCAGCCTACAGAGGCAAAAAGCGCATGGAGGCGCCACCCCATATTTTCTCTGTCTCTGATAATGCATATCAAAATATGCTAACAGGTAAGAAATAATAATGCTTTTTCTGAGCATTTAACAAAATTACAAAGACATCAGGTTTGTCAGATCTACCAACGACAGTGGCTGCTATTTCACAAAAGTCACAAAATCAAAAATACCTAAAAACATAGATTTACCTTTTAAGGATTTCCATAAAATTACAATTTCATAAATACAAAAGCAGCCAATGAAGTTAAAAAACACACAATCGCTGTTTTTTTAAGCCCTATAAATTCATATTTCTTCATCATTGACAGATCGTGAGAACCAGTCTGTCCTGATTACGTGAGTCTGTTACATTTACATTAAAGATGCCTTGTAGTTGAATTATTTAAACAAGTGAGTATGTTTTTTGATTTGACTTCAGACCACTTTTACTATTTGTTCGCAGTGGAGAATCTGGTGCAGGGAAGACTGTCAACACCAAACGCGTCATCCAGTACTTTGCGACAATCGCAGTGGCTGGAGGTGGTGACAAGAAGGAGCACTCGTCTGGAAAAATTCAGGTGGAACAAACAACACAAATCAAACTCACAAAAAGATTAAAT